TAATATAAGGTCACCCTGTGAAAATGAATACTACATTATCAGAAACAACCAACCTGCCTGTGAAATTGAATGTTTGTTACAAACACACCCATTAGCTAAATTTATGGAATGTTTCGTACTCGTCTTTTGAAGAAAAGGTAAAGTTTATGCATTTCATGGTGCTTGGCACGGTTCGCGAGTCTTTCCAAAGCACTTCGGACAGTCCTTAGCTCTGCTCATGGATAATTGAAAAGCTCCTACGTCTCCAGATATTCTACAAGTTTCGAACATCCACAAAAAGGTTTCTATCAATGATTAGAGGGGAGTTATGAGGGCTGTCCCAAACAGTATTTCCTCTTGAACCAGCGTGGCGCGTAACTTTCTATCTTGAAAAATGTGAACTAGGGAGCGCTGAAAAGATGCAAACATTGTGGAAATTCTCACTGACCACTACGAGGGGCACAACTTCAACCCGTAAAGTTGAACTTAGAGAGAGATTGAACAAAGTTGAGCCTGCGCCACAATCGCACCATACAGCAAGATAATTTCAGTAAAGTTGGTATTTTTGGACAAAACTGGTTTAACAAACAGATCCTGCGGATATAAACACTTTTGAAGTGACTTGCGAAGGTGGCCGATTCACTTCAGCGCTTGCAATTTTAGTTAAGGAAATGTGAAAGGTGTGGGTGCTTTTTGTGATGATGTTGTGTCAAAATTTCGCTTCCATAAACTGCATAATGGACTCCAAAGATTAGCATAGAGCCTTGCAAGGACATCTGGCCTCTCCCTTGAGCTGATGAAGTTGGCTACGGGCATAAACATTTTTTAACACGTTGACGACGAGCGATTTTTTCCTTGTCGCGCGCATGGGACGAGGCGTTTTTTGCATGCAAAGCGCCGGTAACAACAGGGCAAAACTTATTTTGTAGCTCTGTAAAATCTCGAAATGCACAAAATGCCTTTGACTAGAGTACTCCAGACACGTTTAGAAACAAGGAAAAGTTGTTACTACTGAATGCTGGGTGAAATTTCAGTGACATCGCCTGGCATTTTCAAACCTCAGGTTAGAATAGGTTCTGAAGGCGCAATTTGACGCATTCTTCAATTGTTATTATTAATATGAGCTTTCCTCTAGATGGTACTGGTATCCTGATCACATCTGAAATCTTCTATACGAATTTTTCACTCAAGAATGACGCAAAAAACTTTGCGTACCTGACGGAATGAGCTTTTGTTTGACTGTTATCTTGTTCTTCATGATCGAGAATAAGTGATTTAAACGAAGTCATTTCAAGTCAAAAAAGAACTTGTTTGGTGAAGTTGGCAGTTGATGGACTGGATAGGTACTTTTGTCCTGCCTATGAGTAAGACTGAGCCTACTTGACCATCATGGGAACCTAAGGCTAGAAATGGACATTCTACTGACGGTGACCTAATTAGTAAATGTCGATATGAACAATTTTAGTGAGATTTCCAGTTTGCTGACGGTGGGAACTTTGTGGTTGTGATTCAATTGACAGCGCGTTTCTGCCACTGATAACTAATTCAGAATAAAACTCCCAGGAATTAGAAAGATCATAATTCGCAGACAAGTGTAGTAAGTTAGGACACTGAAGTAAACATTGAAATAGAAAAGTCGCGGGTTTCATCTAAGTTTGCTTACTTTCAAGCTGTCGGTCACCATTGACCGACATCGTCCCATGTGACAGACTGCCTGTCGGTCAGCATTGACCCGACATCGTCGCCTTCGTCAGCCAAACGTCTAAGAACAAGCAGCAGACTGGCAATTTTTCTAGTATTACCAGCTTATTCCTCACTATGAAAAACCCCAGGAGCGAAATTTTGGCGGGAGCAGCTTTTCTTTTAACTTTTTTATAATTATTTTTCAGTTTTTTATAATTATTTTTCAGTTTTTCCGTTTCATAATTATAAGGTCACCCTGTGAAAATGAATACTACATTATCAGAAACAACCAACCTGCCTGTGAAATTGAATGTTTGTTACAAACACACCCATTAGCTAAATTTATGGAATGTTTCGTACTCGTCTTTTGAAGAAAAGGTAAAGTTTATGCATTTCATGGTGCTCGGCACGGTTGAGAGGTAAATCCTTAGCTCTACTCATGGATAATTGAAAAGTTTCTACGTCTCCAGATATTTTACAAGTTTCGAACATCCACAAAAAGGTTCCTATCAATGATTAGAGAGGGAGTTATGAGGGCTGTCCCAAACAGTATTTCCTCTTGAAACAGCGTGGCGCGTAATTTAATGTTTCTATGAAAAATCTAAATGAAAATGTGAACTGCAGAGCAAGATGCAGCAACATTGTCAGGAAAGCTACAAAGATGGTCCGAAGGCTCAGTGGCCATTACGAGGAAGCACAACTTCAACCCGTAAAGTTGAACTTAGAGAGAGATTGAACAAAGTTGAGCCTGCGCCACAATCGCACCATACAGCAAGATAATTTCAGTAGGGTTGGTATTTTTCGGACAAAACTGGTTTAGACAAACAGTTCCTGCGGATATAAACACTTTTGAAGTGACTTGCGAAGGTGGCCGATTCACTTCAGCGCTTGCAATTTTAGTTAAGGAGATGTGAAAGGTGTGGGTGCTTTTTGTAATGATGTTGTGTCAAAATTTCGCTTCCATGAACTGCATAATGGACTCCAAAGATTAGCATAGAGCCTTGCAAGGACATCTGACCTCTCCCTTGAGCTGATGAAGTCGGCTAGCCTACGTAGTCATACAGAACAGCACAGGTACCCATGTAGGTCACTCAACCAGAAGCAGCATTTCTCTCGAAACTCAGATGAACTGAACAGATTATTCTGAAGTTCTAGTCGTATTTTAGTAGAATATCTCAGGGGCGTCTTTGTCATAAAGAATTATGCGGATAAACGCCAGTTACGAACTTCAAAAGAGCTGAAAAAGCAACCAGTGAAACACTAAAGTGAATCGATGGTCATCTGCCTTGGAATCTCAATTCCAGTAGGCCACGGAGACTATTCATGTTGCCCTTGATAAAGGAGGAACCATACATTATTATGTCTTTTTTATCTGTCATTAATCTTAGGTAATTGTTCTTTTTCTCAGGGTGACCTTATATTATGAAACGGTGCAAAAATCGAAAAATAATTATAAAAAAGTTCGAAGAAAAGCTGACCAAAATTGCGATACAGGGGTTATTCGTAGTGGGGAATCATTTGGTGATAGTGGAAAAATCACCAGTTGGCTGCTGGTCCCGGAAATGCAATATTTTAGGGTGACCTTATAATTATGAAACGCACTGTATCACTGACCCATGACAGCGCAACACTCACTTAGCAGCAAACCAATTCGATAACCGCGACGACGTCAAAATTTGAGTGCCCAACTTCTTCGAGTCGAACCAGAAAGAGTTCTACGCGGTAGCCATCCATGCTTTGCGTAACAAAAGGTGATGAGCCTGTGACACAGGTGAAGGAGATGGTTCAGGTTGATGTGCTTCATTATTGTTTTTATAATGAAAATAATTGATGATCGAAAACGACATTTCAATCGTTCCAACCTAATATTTTTGGCCCACCCTATCTTCTCTTTCTTCTCCGTAGTGTTAGCCCTGCAGAGCCGCAGAGTCCACTATTGACCCACCCTGTATACACAGCATGTATTTACGTATCGTGCCGTCAAAAAATGATTTTTAATATTTTTCAGCAGTAGTAATTCGAAATGTCCTTCAACTAAATTTCTGAAAAAAAATCTTTTATTTCAGTTTAGTGGTCATTTTTCACATTTTTCCAAACATGACAGAATTTCACCTATTTTAATATTTCAGCAAATCATACCATATTGTCACGAAATAAAAATAGAACTTATCACTACGATCTATTCAAATAAAGAACAATTGGGAACAGTTCCAGCCCAAAAAAAAACATAGGAACGCTTGCCCAAATTTAGTACTCTTGTAAACTTCAAAAAAAAGTTATCCCATTGACGGTAACTGATCTCCCACCTATTCCTTCTCGCATGGGAACCGATAGAACATGAAAAATGTTGCCAAAAGTCAGCTAAAAATAACAACTAGGACATTGGGAAGCGACGTCTGCGATGATTTCCTTTTTGGTGGTAATACGTACAGTGCGTCTCCTAATGATACAGCCAGCCAAGCCAACTTTGGCTTGGCTACTCTTTCCACGGAAAAAATGTCCCGGTTTTTGTCAAGGTTTCTTTCCAAAAACACTGCCATTTTCACTTTCCGCTTAAGAGCGAACTTGGAAGTTCTTCACTACTTACCAAGCACTATGCAGTAGGAGATTAAGTTCGAAAGAAGCCTCTAATTACGAGCACGGCTTGATGAAATTGGGTGTTATTTTCATAATTCCGCATTAATCTTGATCAAAAAGCAAAGAGGAGCTTTCAGAGCCCTTTCCAGCTTTATTTCCTTCGGCATGCTGGAAGAAATTGTTTATCATTCCGTGACTTCGACTAAGTTCCGCGCAATGTGACCACTGGCGCTTACTCTTTTTTTTTTCTGCGACCATTTGCCCTTTTTGGGAATCCAACAACTGCTTTCCTTTCGTGATAACCTAGAAAAGAAGAAATTGATGACTGCCAATCAAGTTTCATCGAGCAAAAATGAAATGCAACGAAGAAACACGGGGTGGCTGTATCATTTGGAGACGATGGAAAAGCGACCCTTTCTGGAAAAATTAGAATAAAATTTTTTCGCATTTCAACCTGGAATTTTGTGTTGATTTTCGAATTCGCGACCAAATTTGACACAGTTTTCCTGTTGGACATTTTTCCAGAAACTTTGTGGAATTCGAGATTTTGAACAATTTCTAGGTGGCTGTATAATTAGGAGACGCATGTAGTATGACTAACACTGCACTGTGTGCTGCATTTTTTGCACAACTTTCGAGCCTTAGAAAGTACCACTGCACACGCCCATCAATACCGTCCACTTAGCGATGATACATCACGGATGTATGATAACAATGTTCAAAGATAATGCCTGGGAACAAAAATTGCCCTTACTACTTACGTCATTTCCTTCCTCATTCTTTTTGGGTAGAGTGACACGAATATATTGACAGTCAGCCAAGGCTTCGCTTGAGCAACCATTTGATCGCACATCGCCCGGCCATTTCAGCACTCGAACCTGTAACGATTTAGAAATATTCTACTTACTATAGCGCTTCGTCTGTCGTCTGTCTGTCGTCTGTCGTTCTGTATGTCTGTCACGAAATTCCCTAGCTCCTCGGGATCCGCCTGGAGGGACCGGGTCAAGTGGGATGGGTGGGCAAGGTCTCACGAAGTACAAAACACACATCAGCTAAGCGGAGCCCCGCCCACAGTGGGCGTGGCGTGCATCGAAATGAACTGTACTGAGACCAAGATTTCAATTTCAGTGACAAAACAACCTCGAAACTGGGCCAAAAAGTGGGTAAAGGTGTGCATTGGTAAGTCACATCGAATTAGGGAGACCCACCCCCGGTGGGCGGGGCGTTCTCTAAAAAAGCAGTGCTTTATGAAAAATTTCATAACTCGGTTGGGAGAAAGCCTACAGAGCAGAAAACAATTGGTGTAAGGGAGCAATGTCTAAGGTGTTTCCAGCATACATGACGTGGCGGAGGCCCGCCCACAATGGGGGAGCGTGCTCTGAAGTGGACAGCGTTTTCTACAAGTCCTCATAATTCGGTTCCAAGAAGCCTTGGAGAGCGGAAAAAAGTGGATAGAGGTCAGAGGAGGAGGGAGTTCAAATGTTAATGGTGGGCGCGGCGTGGAAAAGCGGATCGAGGTGAGCGAAGGAAATGAAGTTACCTGCCATTGGTAGGTTGGCATGCATCAAAATTGGCGGAATTATTCAAGAAACATTATACCTCGGTCCCCTGGAGACTGAGGAAGAAGTGGATCGAGTCTGGCAACGGAAGGGAGGTCAACTGCTATTGGAGGGCGCGCGCCAATGTGGGCAGAGTTTGCATCGAAGTTATAACTCGATCCCAAGAAGTCCTGGAGACCAGTGAAAAAGTGGATCTCAGCGAACGATATGAAGTTGACTGCTATCGAGGGCAAGGTATGCACCAAAGTGGGCGGAGTTATCCACGAAACATCATAACTCGGTCCAAGAAGTCCTGGAGACCGGGAAAAAAGTGGATCGAGTCTGGCAACGGAAGGGAGGTCAACTGCTATTGGTGGGCGTGCGCCAATGTGGGCGGAGTTTGCATCGAAGTTATAACTCGATCCAAGAAGTCCTGGAGACCAGTGAAAAAGTGGATCTCAGCGAACGATATGAAGTTGACTGCTATCGTGGGCAAGGCATGCACCAAAGTGGGCGGAGTTATCCACGAAACATTCATAACTCGGTCCAAGAAGTCCTGGAGACCGGGAAAAAAGTGGATCGAGTCTGTCAACGGAAGGGAGGTCAACTGCTATTGTGCTTAAGACGAATGTGAGTATATGGATTAGTTATGAATGCATGGTCCTTCTTCTGTAAGGATGTTCGATTTCTTGATTTGCAACGTAAGAGGAAGAATGCAGTTTGCAATGACATTATGAAATGCACAGATGGACGAGATGCGAACAATGAGAAGAATTCGCTTGTCTCTTTCTTTTCGTAGTAGTATTTAATTGAGACAAATTCATTTTGAAGGTCTGGCAAGCCGTGCCGCGTTCTCAGCAGTGCCGCAGCAGAAATCGTCGCGTTGTTAATATGGAGCAGTGCAAGGAATGGGTGGGTTTTCCCTAAAGACCTCGTGTTTCCATCTCAGGCACGTGGTACACAACAGTCTCAAATATTCATCGCTGCATCATCCTCGTCAATCTATCCCACTTTGCCCGGTCTCTGAACTGTCTCTGAGCCAGTTTACATGCTTGGTGGCA